AAAAAATACGGTAGCAACGTTTTAGGTGTTACGGGTTTAACTTACATTTACAGTTAAATACCGTAATTTCATTAACAGATATAATGTTAATATACCAACCTATTGAAGTACTGAAATCTGTTTTGTACATTTGTAATAAACTGATAACCACCAAATGCAGGTGGTGATGAGAAAGTCACATGATGAACCAAAGCCCATCACAAGCAGCTTTTAAATAATAACATATATAGAAGGTGCACAGTGTCATTCACACAAACACTAAACACCATCACGGTAACACACATGCAACTGAAATAATGCAATAAACTTTAATTTAACAACATTAGGTGTAACACACAACCCTAATATACAAAGCTGATAAGAAAAAACTAAGAAGAAACATAGTTATTTCAACAAAAAAACATCAAATTTGAAATGTAACGCAGGGAATTCTGGGAATGTCAATTTACGGTTATTCACTGTAAATTATACGGTCTTTTTCACTTCCAAAAACGGAATACTACCGTAAAATTACATGTAATGTCCAATAGAGTTTTTCACCGTATACAGTAGGGGAATTTACCGTTAACCATTTAACAGGTTTTAACTGTAGCATTTTTACAGTCTTTTACCGTTAAATTCACTGTAATTTTTTACAGTGTTGTCTTATTTTGTACAAAGGAATATGTGTTCTAACAGTCCTCTTCCAAGTGGTGCCATTGTTGTCAGCCTTAAGTCCGAGAATAATTCAATGGGCTATGTAAAATGTTTAATTGTCAAGAAATGACTTAAAGGTTTTGGCTCAACATACTCACCTGTTGATCAAAACTTGCACCAGAACATTTTTATTTATTTATTGTAGTTTTATTTTGTAACTTTCACGAGTGTGTAAACATTTTATCAGTTTGATAACAACATCTTATATTCCTGATTAATACTGATGTGTTTTTTTTTTGTTCAAAGACTGAACTCCTTGCACTCTCTGCAATCCCATCAGTTGACCACAATATTATTGTGCAACTTGGATCTACAGCACTAACACTGTACAGCTGACCATTCCTATCCGAATGTGCAGCACAGTTTGTGTAATTTCAGTTCTGGACTATTGTAATTCTTTACAAGCAGGCCTTCCAACCAGCAGCAGCGTGACTTAATCCAGAACAAGATAGCACATCTGGTCTTCAATCAGCCAAACGAGAAACCACGTCACACCCCTCCTGATCTCACTGCACTGGCTCCCAGTTGTGACCAGGAATCAAATTTAAGGTTTTGATGCTGGTTTCTCTTTTGTAAAGTTGCTTTGAATAAAAGTGTCTGCTAAATGCATATATGTAAATTGTAATTCATAAACCAGACTGACTGGAACATTATATCTTCAAGGAACCATCATTTTATTTATTTTATTTTTCATAATTATATATAAATATATAGTTAGCAGAAGAAATTAAACTTCAAGTAATAATTGGTGGGGACAAAAACAGGAATACTAGATCATGTGATGTGATGGAGATGAATGAAATGAAATTTCATCTTCAGTTAACAGTCATCTGTGCTGAGATGTACCCTCGGTTTCACAGACAAGGCTTAAGCCTAGTCCCAGACTAAAATGTAATTCTGAGCTGTTTCAACTGAAAGAAACTTGCACTGACTGATCTTAAAATATATCAGTGCCTTTGTTTTGTCTCAAGATGCACACCAGTAATGTTTTTTTCTAAGACATGTTTATAAAAATGACTTAAATGTCCTAACTGAATATGGCCTAATCCTGGTTTAGTCTAAGCCCTGTCTGTGAAACCAGGCCTTAGTGTTTACTGAACATTTATTTTACAAGCTGATTTTACATCAAAGGAAGCATCTTAATAAATATGTGTGAATATCATAGAAAATATCTTACCACAGTTTCTCCAGTTTACAGTGAGGATCCTCCAGTCCAACAGCAAGCAGCTTCACACCTGAATTTCCGATTTTATTCTTAGACAGCTTCAGATCTCTCAGATGTGAGGGGTTTGATTTTAAAGCTAAAGCTAAAGCCAGAGCAGAGTAACCTTCATCTGAGACACCACAATTAATCAACCTGTAGAGAAGCACAATAAATATTTGATAATTGATGGATCATTGGAATAAGTTTTAAAAGTTGACTGTGATGTAAACTGTGTATTTCAGTGTGATTGTCAGTTTAGTATCATGTTACTAAAGCATAGCTCATGTGTTCAGTCATTTACAGGTCAATCACTTGAACTCAGAGCAGCAGAATGAGGATGAACACTTCAAATATACTCTACATCGTGTTTCATGTGTGCAATCCAGATACGATCTTACCACAGTTTCTCCAGTTTACATTGAGGATTCTGCAGTGCATCAGAAAGCTGCTTCACTCCGGAAGCACTTATATTTCTATTATCAGTCAGATCCAGTTGTCTCAGGTGTGAGGGGTTTGATATCAGAGCTGAAGCCAGAGCAGCACAACCTTTATCTGTGACACCACAGTTCCTCAACCTGCAGTTAACAGAGACACACTCTTTACTCTTTCAGATCAGATCTTTTAGCAGGAAATCCATTAATAAAGAGAAAGTACACACTTACTATTGTAAAAAAGATGTGTACTTGATTATACCGAATGTGCACTTGTAGTGTACTGCAAATCTCAAAAGTTTATTTTTAAAAAATTGTACTTGCAGATAATATTGATGTCACTGTTGTCACAGCCATAACACAAAAGATGGTCGACACAAAATGGTCGATCCAATAGGGGAATTTATTTGAAGACAATAAACCTAAAATGTGGGAGAACTTCTTCTTCTTCTTTTTTTTTTTTTTTAAAAAGCCTCAGTTTCAATAGTAGAGTATTTTAGCTGGATAGAGGTAAACATCTTTGAAAAATAACATATGGGGTGTTCTATATCATTAGCACCCCTCAGCTGGAGGACAGCTCCCACACCGCATCACTGGCATCTACAGCAAGGCTGAACTATCTTGGATGGTGTGGCGCGGTCAACACTGGTGCTGAAATCAACAAGGACTTGATGTTTTAAAAGCATGCTGACACCCTCTGTAATTGGATCCTGGACTTTCTAACCGGAAGACCTCAGTCAGTCCGTGTTGGCCACAACACTTCCAGCACTACCACACTGAGCACAGGTGCCCCACAAGGCTGTGTGCTCAGCCCGCTGCTCTTCACGCTGCTGACCCACGACTGCACTGCCAAGTTCAGCTCCAACCACATCATCAAGTTTGCTGATGACACAACTGTGGTAGGTCTCATCAGCAACAATGATGAAACACCCTACAGAGAGGAAGTGGCACAACTGGTTGAATGGTGTGGTGCAAACAGTCTGTCCCTCAATAAGAGTAAGACAAAGGAGGTTGTGGAGAGAACCTCTGCTGACCACCCCCACTGACCATCGACAGCTCAACTGTGGAGAGAGTCAGCAGCACTAAATTCCTGGGGGTGCACATAACAGAAGACCTCACCTAAACCACCAACACTACATCACTCTGCAAGAAGGTGCAACAGCGGCTCCACTTCCTCTGCCGACTTAAAAGAGCAAGTCTCCCTCCATCCATCCTCACCACATTCTACAGGGGAACCATTGAGAGCATGCTGACTAGCTGCATCACTCTCTGGTACAGGAACTGCAGTGCTGCTGACCGCAAGACCCTACAGCGGACAGTGAACACAGCTGCAAAGATCATCTGTGCTCCTCTCCCCTCCATTCTGGACATTTTCCTTGCACGATGCTCCAGTAAAGCCACCAGTATCGTGAAAGATCTCACCCATCCCTCCCACAGTCTCTTCCAGCTCTTGCCATCAGGAAGACGGTACTGGAGCATCAGAGCCAGCTCTGCAAGACTGCTCAACAGCTTTTTCCCCCAGGCTGTGAAAGCCCTCAATTCCAATCACCTTACCCCCCTCTGAAACCTCATCCAGAACCCTAGCTCCTGACACCAAGATCCTCTCTCCCCCCACCCCACCCCACCACACCACACCACACCACACCACATGCACCACATGGAAACAGTTGAAAACCTCAAGAACATTGCACAATTCTGAGTGTGCTACACACAGGTGAGTGGGCTGGACAAACCACATGTAGAAAAACACACACTTTCCTCTCTATACGCACCAGACACTTTCTTATAAACACTCCATGTTACAAGGACTTAGATAACACAAATGTTTACTTGTGAATGCACCACAAATCACATTGCACTACTTCTTAACCTTAAATACCTCCTTTGCACAATATCATGTACAGTTATTATGTAAAGTACTTATATAGTCTGTCTTAGGTTATGTGTATGTATAGTCAACTATTTATAGTATATGTATAGTTAGACTACTGCTTCAGAAAGTTAGCTATGTAGGTTTAAAAATTGTTCTTATGTCTAGTGTTGTATGTTTATATTTATGTTTATTTATGTAGCACCGTGGTCCTGCGAGACACGACATTTCATTCCACAGTATGCCCACACATGTAGTGGAATGACAATAAAGCTCGACTTGACTTGACTGACACACATCAGACCATGTACATGATGTTTTGGGACTTAGCAGGTTGGTAAGGTGAAATAAAACAGTCACAAAATTTGTACAAAATGTACAATAATAATAATAAAAAAAAAGCGTCATTGTTATTTTCGGTCAACTGGCAGTGGAAAAATTACAAATGGCTATAATCTTTGCAGCGACTGAGCAAACTTGTCCCCTTCCCATAACCTTCCCTAGGTAGACTAAGATGAAATTTTTCAAGTTAATGGTAAGTTTTGCATAAACCAACTGATGAAAAATTTGTCGGAGCAAACTCAAATTCTCAGCCCACGAGGAACTGTATAAGACTATATTGTCTAAATAAGCTTTGCAGCCGGACACCCCAGCCAAAACTGTGTTAACGAGTTGCTGGAAAGTACTGGGGGCATTTTTCATACATAAAGGCATCACCATTTGTGACCTGTGGCAAAATGAGTCACAATGAGCAAATTTTCAAAAATTAGTTATTTTCATGTTCACATTCTCCATTAAAAGACCTTCAGAATGTTGTATGATTTGTTGGAATCGGACGAAAAATGACTGAGCTACACCCGTTTGATGTCGATAGAGTCAGCAAAGTCAATTCTGAGGAAAATCTAGTTTTCTGAAGGTTCCACCTGCAATGTTGCATCTTTTCCTCCAGTTCTTTTCTTAATAATCATTACTATTTTAATAATCACAATATAGATATTTTTTATTTTATCTTTGTTATTATAAATAAGAACAGATGCAAAAAAACAGAACAAATATAAGAAACAAATAATGCATTACCTTTTTCATTTTACACATAAAAGCATTCAAGTAAGAAAATGTATCAAATGTAAAAATCCCTTCAGTCACTTAATTGCAAATAAATTGATTATTCAAATTACAAAAGCAGTTCAATCAAGAGCAGCAAGTGATTTCCTCTTTTATTGTTAGATTAACATTAATGAGGCGGCCTATATTAAGACCTACTGTAATGCATGGATCTAAAATAATGTTATACATTAGATGTTTTCCCCCATCAGTTCCCCAAACGTTCACTTAAGACATAACAGATTATGTTTGCGTGAATACTTAAATACTGCAATTCTGTGTATATGTATCGGGATCGCACGCTTCGGATGACAGTCAGCGTGAGAAGCGAGCAGAGAAAAGGTGCTCCTCTCAGAAAACGCACAAATAAAGATAATTAAACATCTAAAATTATTATTTGAAGCATTGGGATCGCTAGACGAGGGCTTAATGAACTCATTTTTCACTTTTTTCACTTTTTTTGCCTGTAGCTCAAAATTAGCCCATGCGCATTCCGACTCTATTTGCCAGCTTAATGCCAGCTCCGCCCAGGCGTCTCTCCCTGCTGGCACCTCCCAAGCTCCTAGCCCTGCTGGCTCCGCCTAAACTCCTTGCTTTGCCTGTCCCAACCAAGCTCCTTGCCCTGCTGGCCCCACCTAAGTTCCCTGCCTGGCCGGTCCCACCTAAGCTTTCTGCTCTGTTGGCCCCAGAGCCTGCCTCAGAGCTCACTCCAGAGTCCGTTCCAGCTCCTTCTGAGGTGGCAGCTTCCGCTGCAGAATCTTCCCGAGGTGGCGGCGTCCACTTCGGCTCCTCTCTGGGTGGTGGCGCCCACTCGTGAACTCCCTGTTTGTCCTGTTGCCGCAGAGGCCGCTGTTAACCTCTCCGTGTTCTCTAGTCCAGCACAATCTGAGCCATCTTGGTGGTCTCCTGCACCATCCACTGACGTGGTCTTCAGCTCCACCTGCTCTGCCCTGGAGGGCTTCAGCTCTACCTGCTCTGCCTGGAAGGGCTTCAGCTCTGCCCTGGTGGGCTTCAGCTTCACCTGCTCCATCCTGGAGGGCTTCAGTTCCACCTGCTCCACTCCCTGGTGGGCTTCAGCTTCACCTGCTCCGTCCTGGTGGGCTTCAGCTTCACCTGCTCCATCCTGGAGGGCTTCAGTTCCACCTGCTCCACTCCCTGGTGGGCTTCAGCTTCACCTGCTCCGTAGCTTCACCTGCTCCATCCTGGAGGGCTTCAGTTCCACCTGCTCCGCTCCCTGGTGGGCTTCAGCTTCACCTGCTCCGTCCTGGAGGGCTTCAGTTCCACCTGCTCCGTCCTGGTGGGCTTCAGTTCCATCTGCTCTGCCCTGGTGGGCTTACGCTCCGCCCTGGCACCCTGGTCTACGTCTGTCTCCAGGCCCTTCCTCTACACGGGCCTGGCCCGCCATCCCTCCCCCTGCTCCACCTCCCTCCTGGACGTGACACTGAGTGGAGTGTCTGGAATCCTCTCCTTAAAGCGGGGATCATGTCACATCCATCAGCTGGTGTGCCTGGGATAGCCACCAGAGGGCACTCTTTTTTTCACTGTTGGTTTGTTTTGGACTTCAGTTCCCATCACCCCTTGCACTTATGATTGTTTTACTGCCACCAGCTGTATGTCATTGACTCATTAGCTCATCATTATTTATATTATTTATATTTATATATTGCACAGGTTACTTTGTGTTTTTCTGTTTCACCCTGTGGATAAACTTTTGTTAGAGTTTTTGCTAGTTGCTCTGTTTTTTTTTTTTTTATCTGGTCTGGAAATAAAAGCTGCACTTGGATCTTATTTGTTTCCCAGAGTATTCTGTGACAGTACTTGTTTCTGTTCTTGACTTGATCCTTAGCAGGACTCAACTTGACTTGTTTGAGGTGAGCCACTGACTTAAACTCCTGAAACACTGGTGTCTCATATTTTAAGAGCAGTCAATGCAATTTAGGGAAAAAACAATTAAAGGGGTCCTATTATGCTTTTACGCTTTTTGAATTTTAGTCAGTGTGTAATGTGTATGTTTGGGCATAAAAAATATCTTCAAACTTACAAATCTCAAAGTCCACTCTAAAGGGAGATATTTCGTTTTAAAAAAATCCCTTTTCAAGAACTACAACGAACGGCTCGTTTGGACTACAGCGTTTGTTTTCTGGGTTTTATGATATCACAAAGCGACCCA